AAAAATTTCAATATAAAGTTAATATCTTCGTTCACATCTCGTACTCCTATATGCATATACGTACAAGTATTAATTAATAATCTGATGATATAACATATATAATCGCTGAATGGTTAGTCACCTGTTCAACACTCATCAGGGACGTGTGTTAATATTAGCGTTAATATTACACCGCCATGGATGGATGCAACTTCTATTTTCGCGTTTATTCCTTGCTTTCTTTTATGAACTCCTTAACGAATGTATAAATAAATGCTATACAAGTCCATCGTTTCAAGTCGTATATCCGGTATGGACAATTTAGATACTTGAGCATTCGTTGTCTTTTTTTTCTTCACAATCCTTCCTTCCAGCGAGTCCTACGAATATCCCTGATGACGGATTAGCCGCGCCGTCGTCCGTCAGGACGCGGGCCGGTACGCTGGAGCGAGCTTATCCCACTTGGTATCCGATGTAGCGTGAACCTGAAGGTCGGTATCTTACGCAGGCCATTAAGAACAATGCCGCGATTTATATTGGGCTACTTACGAGGCTCGCGGCCTCGTGCACGTTACGGTACGTTAATCGAGGGCTTGAAACCTGGTTACCGCCCTGTAGATTGACTAATCCGGATCGGATATCGGATGTCGCGGAGGAGGAACGGTCATCGAGGTTTTTACGAGAGGAAGCTTATCTCATGCCGAGCCCGATGCCGGCTCCACCTTGAGCGTTGGACGTCCTCTGCTCCATGGTGATGTACTGCCTGATGAGACGGGAGATCTCGTGGGCCTGCTCCGTCTGCAGCCTGGTGATACGCTGCTGCATCAGATTGCCGCACTTCATGTCGAGGTAGAGCGTGCCCTCCTCGGACTTGACCTTCCTCGTGGAGATCACCTCGGAGTAGGGGTAATGGTACAGTGTCTCCTGGAAAAGAAAGACCAATTTAAATTACACGCAGGGAGAAACGATGCCGTGAGAAGATAGAAACTATAGAAGACTATATACACTTACGTGCGTGATCAGATCTATGAAGTGCACTCCGTGTCGATTGAGAGCGAGAATGTGGTCGGCGCCCTTTTCCTTGCCCTCGGGCACCCTCTTCACCGCGAAGAAACTCGAGCCGAAAAGCGGCCACTTGGACAATATTTCTGAAGAAAGAGAGAAAACGCATGCGTGTACTGCATTTAATCCATTCCGTCCGAAGACAATTAATTTTTGTCATTTTGCCAAGCAACAATTTGTGTAAACTGTTATTGTTTGAGTTCTCGCTTGTATATTAGAGATATTAAAGCAAATGTTTGGGAGGTGGAAACGCCTTTTATCATTTTTATATGCGGTGTGTATGAAAAACAATTTTTAAATCGTAAAATAGTGCTAGTACGCGCGGGAGCCGGCATTCCCGCATTTCCCGCGAGCACGGCTAATTGGGCCGTGCTGTCACTAGGCGGCTGACACGCGAG